GCTCGTGTGAAGTTGACTATAAAAGTGTTTTTGAACTCCCTTAATCCATCTTTCACCTAAACTCATTCCTAATTTAAGTCTTAGGCATTACAGGCTACGTAAACTCATCATCATTTCTTTCTCTTCACTTTTTTTCTTCTTTTTCTCTTTTTTGAAACATTTTTGTTTGTTTGTTTGTTTGTTTTTAGCTTTTCATTTCTTTCCCTTACCTCAAGGAATTCATCACGTCACAATTAATGTCACGATTTGAATATAACAACTTCATGAAGTTCAGACTTACCTCAATAGTTGTTTGAAATTACCTTCAATTTATCCGCTGATTGCTTTTATCGAAGTGGCCTTTATCTTAACGATAGGCATTATTTCCTTTATGGAACTTATTATCCTCAATTTTACCTCTTTTCTTTCTCTCCCTTGGGGAATTCATCATGTCACAATTAATGTCATGATTTGAATATAATCACTTCATGAAGCTCAGACTTACCTTAATAGTTGCTTGAATTTACTTCCAAGTTATCAGCTTACTACTTTCAGCGGAGTGACCTCGTTTTATTATACTCGTTTTACCTCAACCTTTGAGTATTCAGTTTCATGATTTCTTAAGCTCGTAAAGAATAACTTTTTATAGTATGGGTGTCGTTCAAGGTAAAAAAAATCATCTTTAAATTTCAATCCCCAAACGACCGACCTAAACTAAATTCACCTACTCTATTATTTCGTCTATGAAAATTAGGGTCATCACTGAACGTTCTCAACAGAAGTGTGTTCTAATCGATTTTGTGACTTCGCATATGAATGTTGCCCCATTTTGTCTTCTCTTATACATAACTGAATGTCAAGCCCTTTGATTGTCTTATCGTGAGAGGAGAATGTTATCTTAATCCCTGTAAGAGAAGGGTATGATATTGGGTGTATCCTCTGAAGTAGAATAAAGGGTCTTTATTTTACAAGGATTCAATCTTATCACTTGCCAAAGAGGACATAAATTTGATTATCTAGAGAGCATTTAACTAAATTGATATTCAAAGAATTTTGAAATTGAAATTTACTCATTGCTCACAACTTGAGAAAATAGTATTTTATTTAATATGTTCGAAAGTTAAACGACTTATATACCATAAAAAGAACAAAGTAAAACAAGTTCAAACAAGATAATGTGCTTGCAAGTGCAAAAAAATGTTCTTGGTATATGCAAAGGCTTCTTCTCAGTGCGTATTAGAATGGCCCATCACTCATTAAATGATCATGCCCCTGAATCGATCACATTTTGAATCTTCTACTTCAATGCCCCACAATCCTCAGTAGTGTGTATGAAGCTTCTTATGTGGTAGCTACACACTGTGTTAACATCATAGTCTTTAGGAAAAGGGGGTTCATTTGGCTTAGACTGCACTAGAGTCACCAGGTTCTTATCAACCAGTATTGGGAGCAATTTTTTATATGTCATCAGAATCAGCTAATGAGTCTTTTCTTGGGTCACCTTGTAGTATCTGGTCCCCTGATTAACTGAATAATACTTCAGTATGTTGACCTCAACTCTTTTCTCGGTATCAGCACTATCAGTATCCCATGTCTGACCATTCTTGATAGTTATTTTAATCATTTCTCCACGCATGAAAATGGTAGAAAAACTCTTGGTGAAACCCATATCATGTGGTTGATATAGTGAGACTTTAATGTATTGACGGATAAAAAGATAAACTCTTTTTCAATCCCTGGCAGACATACTTGGGATACCATGACCCTCAATTGATGTGTGTATTATTAGAAGCTCTCATTATGCTTCATCTTCATATATTGTAGCGTTATTCGATCAGGACCCATATTTGTCATGTGGTTGTACTAAACCAAGAAGGCCTGGGCTAAGTCTTTCCAATATCTAATTTGAGTATGATTCAACTAATTATACAACTTGGAAGTTGGCCCAATCAGACTCTCTTGAAAATAGTGTATCAACAACTTATCATTCTCCACATGGCCAGTCATTCGCCTACAGAACATGGTGATATAAGACGAAGGGAAAATGGTCCTGCCATACTTCTCGAAGTCAGGAACTTGGAACTTCAACAGAGAAGTGGGGCCAGGGACTAGACTTAGTTCTTTGGTATTGGACCAATGAAAAGATTCAACCATTTCTCTTAAATTTACATTCTTCTCTAAACTTTTCAGTTGTTGAATGAGGTCATTCCTAACTCTTTCATTTAAATATTTTACCATGCTGTTAGCATAGAAACCATTAGGTTTTTCTCTAGACGCAACATCACAATTAATGTGGATTGAAGCTCTAGCCTGATGTTGAAGTAGGTTCTTAGTAACAAATATAGCTTGAGGCTTTGATTCTTGATGTATCGGGGTAGGTAGGGAATATAGACGGGCATGAAACCCAGACGACGTGAAGGATCTTCAACAACACTCTTCTCATCGGTCATATGTTCCCTGAACATTTCCTCTATCTTATTAAGTAAATCTAGCTGGGAGCTAGCAATATCAACCTTGATCTTTTCAAATCTACTTTTTATTTCTTCTTGCATATTTCTCTGCTCTTTCTCAATTTCGGTTAGGCGTCTCTCAATTTCCTTAGTCACATTCTTCGAACCATTCAGACGCGAAGTGTTCTTCTAATATGGGACTAGATCACTATGATCAGAAGTCTTGTCTTATTATTAATGGTTTTGATGAAATGAATGAATGTTCTGATGTATGATTTGAGAAATATGTAAAGACATCAAGCAAATACAATGCAAAATGCATGTATACAAAAGGTATTGATCCCAAAAAATAATTATTCCTATAACAATTCTTGAAGAACTGACAATGTCTCGGTTTTATGGGAAGTGAGAATCAAAGATTATAGATAAATATGATATATCTTCTAATTGTTCAACTCCTACGAGTAGCTAGGATGATGCATCATTTTTCGTCAAATTTGGGTTCTTCAAAAACCTTTAAAGCTTCTACTTCTTTTCTTATGGCAAAAATTTGTCGAGCTGGTTGATGACCTTTATCTATTGGCTTCAGTGTTGAAGCTTATTGAGTCCAACTTGTTACCTCAGTAGGTAGACAGTCTCTTGAATCTTGTTGCTTTTTACTTTGTCCCGGAAGAATCTTTGAAATTCTATCTAACCCAACGAAAGGAATTGTTATAGGTATTACTATTTAAAGAACCTTCTAAACGACCAGTTATTTTAGAGATCAATACCTTTGAATGATATGTCATGTTTATGCAAAATAAAGCACAACAAAAAATGTAACAAGGTAAAAGGAAATCAAGTTAGTATAAATGATAATCGAACCAATGTCAACATGTAAAAATAAAATATAGCTCATATACAGACAAAACACGCAAAGGAAATTAAAGTCGTAATCGCATGTGTTCTAGTTCTCATAGGTTATCCACATGACTCTAGCATGTTTGGCTTAATAAATTCTCTACATGACTGTTCCGTTCTAACAAGGGTTCCCAAACTATCCTTACAACTTGGTAAGGTTAATAAGGACTTTGATTCTGGCCCACTACAAACTTGCGAATCGAATTCGAAAAAACACTTAGGATGCTTTCCAGAGGTACTTTGTTAGACCCATACAAGGAAGCCCAACGCTCCTATGAGGTGTGACGTTTACCCCTACTAAGGTAAAATGGGACAAAGCTTGGGTATAAAGCTATGATACAAAAGAATCCTAAATATATTCAATCAAGCGAAAGCATTAGCCAGAGAGAAAATCATTTTTTAAAATTTGAAAGCAACATAAATTAAATAAATTCAAACTCAAAGTTTTCAAATTCCAAATATAGGGTAATCAACTCGTGGCTCGACTCTCAATTTGTTTTAAAAACAAAATATTCCCAGTGGAGTCGCCAAGCTATTGAAACCATTTTCGCCCAAGTGGAGAAAAAGTTATCATGACTTGGGGTTTTTCTTTGAAAAGATTTGTGAAAAGATAAGAGCCACCGCCAACCATTTTTAAGGTGTGATTGGGATACCTAAAATTAGGTCATTTTAAAAAACATCTTATTTTATCAAAAATACCAAATTTTGTCTGCGAAAACAAAAAATCGAGTACCTAGTCAGTTTCGCGTGAAGAAAGATTAACACCCCCACAGCACCCAGAAATTGGTACCTAGTCGATTACACTATATTTGAAAATTAAAAATTTTGAGTTTGAGATTTATTTAATTTAAAATTCATTATGTATGCATGGTTTTGAAAAGGATGTCTATTTACTTTGAGAATTACCAGTGGTCACCCCCTGAGCATAATGTGAAGAATACACTATTAACCCCATAATAAATGAACATTGCCTTGTTTTTGAAAACATGATACAAGCACACAACTTGTTATTAGTCTTAATTAAACTAAGGGTTAATTAAGACTTTTCTATAACCTAAAATGTCAAATTATGAAAATTAAAAAACTTAGGAGACTGAACCTAAAATGAAATCTCTAATATTAATCTTAATTGATTTTAACCAATTATTGAATCGAATAATTGATTTACACCATCAGAAATCTTAATATGAATGCTAAATCGATTATTCCCTAAATTAAAGGACTAAGGAAATTAAACCTAAAGTTAATGCTCTAATTAATAACCTAATTAATTATGTCAATTAATAATTAAAAGTTCAAAGCCTAAATCTAAAGAAACCTAAATTTAGGGACTAAAGCCTAAATTTAAGTATTCTAATTATAGACTAAAGTAGGACTAAATTAAAAAGAAAATAAATTAAAGTACTCATTAATGAACAAGAATTTATACACAAAGATGATAAACAAATATGCATATTGTAATATAACCCTAAACATTATAGGTGACTAAATTAAAAAAAGTAAAACAGAATATCCCAGTTCAAAAATAAATGAAATAAAAAAAGTGAATCAGGGGACTAAGATATAAAAACGTATATTAGAATTGTAGACACCCGTTATTGTCCGGGTTTATATTATTATTATTATTATTACTATTATTAATATTATTATTATTACATTTGCAGGCCCAGTTACAACAGTTAACCTGAAGCCTAACTTTGGCCCAGATTACAAGCATCAACAGCCCAGCAGATAATAAAACCCAAGACCCAAATTTGGATCCGAACAGTAGACTCAACCCAGTTGAATTAGGGTTATAAAACCCTAAAAGCCATCAGCTAAAGCCACCGCCAACTCCAATTAGCCTCTGTGTTAACGACAAGATCTTATCATCACCAACAGCTCGGACCATTTCAATCGAATTCATCAAGTCATATGCACCAAAGTCAAGTAAAATTAATGATTTCACCTAACCCATCAACATCATACCAAAAACAAAGAAATTGCAAATGCATCCAAGGAGATTCGGTGAAGATTTCAACAATAAAATCGAGGAGAAACCAGAGAAAAAGGAGAGAAGAGAGAAAGAGAAGAATGCAACCAAAAACGAAGGAAAGCATTTCAAAAAAGAAGGGAGTGAAAACAGATTGGGGAATTCGTTGTAATAAAAAGGAAAAACAAGTGTGTAATCGCACAATTCAAAATCAGAAAAGGTGATATAACTATTGTTTTGTTTCAAGGTATTTTAAAATTTCTTTTGCTTTCCAATTAGTTTTTTTGTATGTGCTATTATTATTTTGAAACTAAAAAAAGAGATTTGCGGTTTGCTTACCTGTGTTGGACGAACGCATATGGAATTTTCATTAATCCCATTTCATCGTCATTTGAATTCCCTTGTAAATGAAAATGAGTTGGGGTTAGTGAATATTTTTTATCTTAAAAACAGTAAAGGAAGGGGAAGAGAGTGAACGAAATTACCTTAAGGTCAATGGGCATGTAGCGTTGATTTACGGTGGTGACGAATTCTGAAAAGGAGTTTTGCTACGAAGTAGGAAATTAGAGTTAGAGAAAGGAGGTTGATGTTAAGGTTAGATTAGGTAGCTCAAAAGGTGGCCGAAGTTGAATCCTCACCATTAACGGTGTTTGAAGCTGCTCGGGTTAAAGGATGAGAGGTTCGGTCGTGAGAGATGAGGTATGGTGGCCGGATATAAGGCTTGGGGCTCCGAACGGCTGAGGTAACCATTGGATCTTGGTGGTTTACGAGATGGGAGAGCTTCGAAGCTCTCGTGCGAAGAAGATTGAGGGAGGAAGAGAAGAAGGATAATGCGGCAGTGTGCTTATGTTTGAAATTAGATTAGGGTAGTGAAAAAATAGGGTTTTATATTAATTTATTAAGGTTAATTCATTTAAGGTCACTGAAAGTTTACCACTTTTTTATACTTTAAACAATATTAAGGACTGATTTCAAATTTATCCATAGGTGTTTGTATTGATTTAGTTATTTTCCAGATTTAGATTTTAGTTATAATTTTTGGGGTTATTTTATCAGGGTCATCTTATTTTTATTTGTAATTCATTTAGGTCATCAAATTAATGTTCGCATGTTTATATTTTTGTCTCTATAGTTTATATACGTTTAATTTTGGTCCCTGGGTAAAAACATATATATTTACTATTTAGCCTTTTTTTCATGAATGTTTAGTTTTGGTCCCCTATTTTAGTTAAACTTCTGTCTATTTTTACATTTGGTATGTAATTTTGTTGATTTCAATTTTAGTCTATATCATGTGTTGCTTATATTTCGTGTTGTTTATATTTTGTGCATATTGTTTTCATGATTTTTGTTTTAGTCTATTCCCTGTTTTATGATTATTAAGACTCTAGTGCCCTTAATATGTAATAAACTTATTATTCATAAAATACAAATATACATATATGTTGCGCATGTCATTTGCTTCTTACTTACTAAGTATTGTTTATATTCATTGAGTTAGTATATATATCTTTTTCCTATATGTGTGATGTACAAATGATTGTTTCCTATATCTTATATACATATGCGTGTTATATAACTTGTAGATATATATGTGTATATTAATACTATTGATCACATTATATTAGTTTTGTATAATATGTATGACAACCTCATGTGTATAACTCAAACCTATAATTACATAATTGGATTAAGGGTAATACCCTTTTTATTTAAAATTGCTTTAAATAGATTGTATTAACCTATTAGAGGTCCTCTTTTGACAATTTAAGATTAAAAGTGCCTCCCATAGTGACACCTAAAATTGATTCATTATTTTAAAATTTGGGAATGGAAGAAAAAGAAATGTTCGACTATTTAAATTTGTCGAGAAAAGGTTGTTATATCTCATTTAAGACATGGTCTCGAAATTTTTAATAATCAAATAGTCTTTATCTTTCTAAAGGTTGGATAATTTAATATATTTTGGTTCTTTTGAATATCGTAAAACTTACATCATTATTGTTTTAAGGGATCATAATTTAATTTTATATTTAATTCATGATTTCCACTATTACGACAACGTGTGAGCTAAACAATACAAATTTTGGTGTTATGGGGGTGCTAATCCTTCCCCAAGCGTAACCGACTCCCGAACCCATTTTAATTGAATCTTTGGAAAACACATACCAATTTTTGTCTTAAAAATGATTTTTCTTAAAATTGTTTTTTAGACATTTTTAGGTATTCGACCTACCTAGTCCAAAGGTTTATGACGACTCTATCCAAATTATTCCAAATCAATTCAAAATCACCCAATTTTCCAAAAATTAAAAATCATAATTGTTTTTAAAAAATAAACGATTGTTCCACCCGAAAAACGGTTACGACAGCTTGGCGACTCTACTGGGGAATTTTTTTAGAGAGTCAGGCTGTTAATCTTTTACATATTGTTGTTTGGTGGAAATTATGAGTTCAAGTTTTTAGTTAATTTATGATTCATTTATTAAAATTTTTAATTGATTCATTTTTTTTGTTATACTAACATTTTTATCTTTGTTTACAGATCTATCCAAGTTTTTATCGAGTGGTTTCGTTTTCCTTTTGAGTCAAAGGGCTGAATATTCCTCCTCACACACATAACGGGCATTTGCATACCATAAGTTCACTTACGAGCTTTGTCCTTTTTAAGTTGAGATGAAAGCTTAACCTACGTGAGATAATTTATTTCTGTACGGTTTTAGCAAGTAATCTTTGGGGTTCATTTACCTTATATCTACGTGAGATAAATTGTTTCTCCACAAGGACATAAGGGGATGTATCCTCTCGAATTGAACTCGATCCACACGAGCCTATAATGGGCCAGGATTGAGGGTTTGGTAGCCCAAGGGGGCACCGATATCAAGGATAATTTGATTATTTTTTTCCTGATAGAGCCGAAACCATGCATATAGTGAACAGTAGAACGGTCACCCTAGGTATAGACATATCGAACCTCTGTCTGTCAATAGGTACCCAAAATAAGTGTACACAAAGGAGGACTGTTTCTGAACCTTGACCTTTTTGTTTTATGTTCGTAGAATATATTTGTTCTTTTTAAATAACAACATGTGAACTAGATACCATCATTTCATTGAAAATAATTATTTTGGGTAGAAAGCATGTTTGGGTAGGATCACTATCTAATAAAAGCATGATGAGATAGATATCATGATTGGGTAGGTGTTATATTTATCTTTAAATAGCATCTTTTAATTTTATTTATTATTTCGCTCATACTAATTTATTTCGTTTCTTTTGTATATGCCATTTTTTGTCCTTCTTTGCATTGCATCATTTTGCATCTGTATTTGCATTTTTTCATTATGCATGATCATCATGAATAAAACTTGATTAAACCTAGTAATAATCAGATTAGAAGAGCGATCATTGAAATGGAAAAGAATTTTCATAACAAGGAAGAATCTAATCCAACGGTTCGAGCTTAATCTAAAGAAACACAAAGGGAAAAAAGATAATTTTTCTGGGGATTTCATATCACAAATGCTCACAAATGTCAATCTCAAGAAAAAATGATCTACAAGAACTGATAAAGATTTGGTATATTTAGAGAATAGTTACCAACGAGAAATTTCACAAGAAATATGGTGACATGGTTTTTCTCCTCTGCATAAAGATAGATGAGTCGTTGCTTAAAGCTCTGGTCTGATGCCGGAATTCCACAACAAATGCTTCACTTTGACACCAATAATAGAATAGTATGCTCTATTTAACTTTGAAAGCCTTCAGGGGGATAGAATTCATTACAGTCTTCCAAAAGTCCAATCCTTTAAAAGCAAGCTTGTGAAGATTACAAGATTACTGATAGTAGAACACATCCAACAAATGGTAGAAAGTAAATGTTTTTCATGTCATTGTCTCAAGAAGGTGATACTCGAGCATATAGATGAATATAAAAGATTGGACATATTTGCTCTTGTCATGAATGATCTAATGATATTTCCAAAGACTTTGTTCCATGTTGAGGCTGCTGTTGCAGATTTCTTGGATAGATTGGAGAAAGGTATAAGTCCTAAACTGGCTATATTGGTAGAGACTTTTTGATCCCTAAATGATTTCCATAGATTGGAGGAAAGGCGATTCAAATGTTGCACTCAAATACTCACCGTCTGGATTCAGAATCAATTCTGGAAAGAGGGGAAAGTTATTGGGATCATGACTGAGATCACAATGTTAAATAAAAAGGCTAAACCGTATTTGTAGAATTGATCTTTCTTGTAAAGATGAAAGTTCTTTTGGAAGAATGAAACTCTTTCTAAGAATGATTACTTTTGGAAATTGATACGTTTTTCATTTGCATTTGTATTTGCATCTTTTCATTTTACATTTGTATTTACATTTTCATTTTTTGCATTTGTATTTTTTTTCAAACTATTTTACATGCATTACATCATGAAAATATGAGAATAATTCGTGGAGGGTTCCATGACAGAAATTTTGAAATCAAATTGGAGTTAACTTGGTCTTCCTAGAGAAAGATAAGAACCATGAATGAGATTTTAGCAAAGGTTTGTAGAATCGAGAAACTCCAAGAGCAAATTATCAAGACTCAACAAGAGATGATCGATCAAGAAAAAAAGTTCCAGAATGATTCAAAGGAACAAATGGATCTAGAAGAGAAGTTCCAAAATGAATCAAAAGAACAAATGATCAAATTAATGGACATGGTGAATGTTGTGATCCATGGAGAAAAGCCCTTAGAAAATCCAGTTACGAATGATTTGAAGGAAAATATGAACGTTGGTATTGTAACCAAAACAAGAATGATAAATAACCAGGAACTTGTAGAAGAACGTGGGAATCAAATATAACTCCAAAAATCGGTTGAGCTGGTGTCAAAGAAAAGAAGCATGGAAGAGGACCAAGTATCAGTGACGAAGGATGAAAAGAGAAAGAAGTAAAAGAAGAGGAAACATCTCATTCCAAACTCATATTTAGACTTGTTACCCTTTCTCTTTGAAAGTGGTCTTGTAACACCCATTTCCTAGTACTTATCTACGTGCAAATTGTCAAGATGTCAAAGATTTATGCAATTATCATTCTAGAGATTTCAATCACTCTACATAAAATTGCATAATTCTGAGATCAAAAGTCCAAGATCTTATAACAGAAGGGTTTCTATGTTTTGAAGATGGGAAACCTAGGCTCCTCAAAAACTCAAAACTGGTTTAGAAATATAAATTTTCGAATTATTGTCTTTCTCATGATATTGGTCAATGATCAAACATTCAAAGAAAACATTTTGGTCATCAGTCACAAGGTCTTCAAGAAAGCAAAGTAAACGATTGTAAGGAGACAGTGATGTCAAAGGAAATTCTACCTAAGTTTCCTTCAATTTCGTGCAGCAAGTTATATCCTGAGTTACTCAAAGACCAACTTATTGACCCATGTCAGGCTAAGCCTTTATTTCCTCCTTACCTGAGATGGTATAATGAGAAAGTCTTTTGTGAATATCATGTTGGAATTCGAGGACACTCCATCGAGAATTACGGTAACTTCAAACGACGAGTTCAAGACCCTTTGGTTCATAAGTTCATAGAAGTGGATGTTAACAGTCAATCCCTGTTGATCAGAAAATTGGGATTCAAACCCCAAAATGAAGTTGATAGTGTCAAAACAAGTGAAGTTCATACATCAGAGGACATTGAAAAGAAAAAAGGCAAAACTAAGGAATGTGAAGTATGTATAGCAGATTTAACTCTCGATACTTCTCTGATGCTAAAGAATGAGAAAGAGATGAGAAATAAAGAAATAAAAGGAAAGGTAATTAGAGATTGGCCCATAGGTCTAAGAACG